TGGAATTTTATTGTTACATCTTTGGTAACTTAAGAAAGTGGATCTTAATGAATTCTGCTGGGAGTTAGGTTAGATAAAATGGCTTCAAATATTTAAGAATAAAATTTCCCAGAAAGAATGGGAAATTCTATCAGGTAACATCCCAAAGGAGCAAATAGTTCCTACAGAAAGGGAAAATAACAGAAATCTAAAGATGCCAATATGAATGAGCTCAGGCTTGCAAGAAGTACTGAAAACATCAAAGAAAGATTTTCTGGCTACATTAGAAAGAAAGAGAAAATCAAAAAGAACGTGTGCCATTGTGAGGAAAAATATTAAAAATAAAAATATTAAAATGGTAATGGATTATTATGAGAAAGCAGAATTTCTTAACTCTTACTTTGCTCTTCTTGAAATATAGAATTTCTGCATTCCAGAATTGGAGCAATATGTTTCTATCAGATATTAGAAGATCTCACAGAGAAGGACTCACTGTTGACTGAATCATCAAACAAAAAGAGTGCTCATTAATGACCATTTTCATCTTGAAAGAACTTTTGATTGAAGTGCTATAGGGCTCTGTCTTGGATCCTATGCTATTCAATTGTTTTATAAATGACTTGGATGTGAGAGTTTGGGGGACACTTAACAGAGTTTGCAGTTAGGACGAAGCTGAGAGGTAGGGCTAATATAAGATAAAAAATTCAGAAAGATCTAGACAGGCTTGAGCACTGGCTGAAGAGACCATAATAGAATTTAGCAGGGAGAAATGTAAAGTTCTTCATCTGAGTAGGAAAAATATAAGATGTCAATATAAGATAAGGTGAACTGGCTTGGAATAGTGCATGTGAAAAGAATCTGGGTGCCCATGTTAATCAGATAGAATACATAAAAAGTAAATGCCATCCTGAGATACATTAACAGGAGCATAGAATCCATGTCACAGGAATTAAGTGTTCCGGTCTAATCTGCTCTATTCAAACCACATTTGGAATACCATGTGCAGATCTATACATTATAGTTCTAAAAGAGAGAGTGAAAAAATTGAGTTAGAGAAAGGCTATCAAAATGGTAAAATACCTAGAAAGCAAACACTATGAGTAATGGTAAAGAATATGGGTTAACTTTAGCCTGTAGAAATGACAGCAGAAACTAAATATGATAGCAGTGTTCAGATACGTTAAAAGTTATGTAGCATAAGGTGTGGATAATTTCTAGTGCTACAAAGCCAGACCAATAGGTTACAAGGAAGCAGGCTGTGGCTATTCATCAGTGGGAACCTCTAGAGTCCTTACTTAATGATCATAACTGGGACTGGAATTTCTGTTGGTAAGTGCAGTGGTCATTAGGTGGAGCATCATGTGACTGTATCACTAGTGTAATGGTAATCTTGATTGTGGTTGTTAGGCAAGGACCATTCTATCATTAAGTGAAGACCTCACCTTTCTCGTGCCCTGCATGAACTGCCATCTTTGTCGTGCTGTTCCCCACCATCTGGATTCTGTGAGCTCCTTTCAGCAGACAAGGCTCCACCGCTCTGCCATGCTTGCCTCCACTTCAACTCCTTCCCACCTACCTCTCCCTATCTCTGCCCTTTGGTTGCCCTGCACTCTGCTGCTGTCACCTACCCCACCACCCCCAGCTGACCTTCGCCATCTTCTTCCTCCTCGCAGAAGTGTCGTGGAGGTCTCGCGAAGGGCCAGCAGCTGCCTCGGCCAGGTGCACCTCATCAGCAGAAGGAAGAAGATGGTGAAGGTCAGCTGGGGGCAGTGAGGGGTGGTGGGATAAAGGGCAGAATGCAGAGCAGCAGAGAGTAGGGTGGTCAAAAGGGTACAGATGGGAGGAAGATAGGTGGATGGGGAAGTTGAAGCGCATGCGGTTGTAAATGTGGGAGGTCTGCAAAGGACCCAAATTTTTGACCATGTGACCACATGCTGCAATGGCCATTACTCTGAGGACTGGTTGTAACTACCATTTGTTGAGCGCTGTTGTAATTTTGAATGGTTGCAGAATGAATGGTCATCACCCGAGGACTACCTGTATGAGCTTTCAGTCAGGCTGCCAAATGTGGTTCCTTTTTTCTGGAGGTCTTCAGAGGCTAGATGGTCATCTATTTAGAGATGCTTTGCTAGACTGGCCTACACTGAGCAGGGGAATGGATTAAATGATATCTGAGATCCATTCCAAGTTTATTCTGTGATTCTAACTATTGTTATTGGCTTAATTTTCTGAACTGTATTAACTTTGTATCTAGTTGTGTTCATCTTTGTTGAAGCTGAATTACCTGAATTACCATTATCTGATGGTACTGATGAATATTCATTATCTTTTAGAAATCATAGAGAACTTGTGAAATACCATAGGACTGGAAGGCACCAAATATTGTTTGGTTTCTATCAGCAGTTTCTATCTTTTAAAAAAGAGTAATAGTTTCATGTAATGGTTAAAGCATCAGGCTAGGAACTGGGAAATCATGAGTTCCAGCACAAAGCCAACTGGTGTCCTTGGGCCAGTCAATTTGTCTCAGTTCTAGGAAACCACTTTTAGAAAAATCTTGCCAAGAAAGTTACAGGGATTTGTCCAGGCTGCCTGTGAGAATCAGGCATGATCAAATAGAAGAAAAAAGTGAAAGAAAAAAAATTCTTTAGAAAGCAGAATGAGGTGACTGCAAAATAGTCAATCTGATGTCAATACTTAAGAAGATTCGTGGTGACTCATAAATAAATTAATCTGCAAGCATCTGAAAGCAATATGATTACTACTAAGAGGCATTGTCTATTTGTTAGGAATACGTTTTATTAGCTTTGTGCTATATCATTTTTTAAAATGATTAATGAATAATTTTGTTTTTAGCAAAACATTTAACAAAGTATTCCAGGATATTCTGATTATAAACTAGTCTACAAATGTAGGTAGCATGCATGACAACTGAACAGCATATATAGCTACCTCAAAAATTGTACTGAAAAAGTGCTCATTGGTAATTCTTAATCCAATTGAAGAAAAGTGTATGCTAAGTGATTCACACTACACTTGATCTTAGCCAAAAGTGTTCGGTTCTGATTAGTTTTGTTTTATTTGAATGTTTAATTTTTTGTGTTGGCCCATGGCTGTAATAATAAACATTTGATTTGATTTGCTAAGAGATTCATGCTATATGCTCTGGTGTTAAGTAACTTGAAAAAGTGGAGAGTAAACTTAACAGATTTGCAAATGACACAACACAGCAAATATTCTATAAGACAGAAGTACAATTTAAATTGATCCTGATAAGACAGAGGAATGGTTGAAAATAAGAGATGAAATTTAAGAGACAAATGCAAAGCTCTTCTCTTAGGTAACAAATCAAATGTATTGGCATTGAAGTGAACACCACAGACTAGTAGTATTTATAAAAATTATGATGAATTAATAATTGATTGCCAACTGAATGTAACTAAGAATCGTGTTACTGTGAGAAAGGCAAATACAATATTAGGTTGCATAACTGTTTCCAAATCAAGGGAAGTAATAGTTTCACTTTATCCTGTATTACTCAGATCCTCAGTTTGAGTACTATGATAGTACATGTAGTTCTCAACGTACAACCATTTGTTTAGCAACCATTCTAAGTTCCAACTGCACTGAAAATGTGATTTACAACCAGTCCTCACACTGTCTCAGCATCCTCATATTTCTGTGATCAAAATTTAAGCGCTAGGCAACTCGCGTGTATTTACAGCATTTGCAGCATCCTGGGCTAATGTGATCATGATTGGTGACCTTCCTAGCTAGCTTCTGACAAGCAACATTAACTGGGGAAGCTGCATTTGCTTAATGATTACATGATTCACTTAACAGCTGCAGTGATTTGCTTAACAACCATGACAAAAAGGTTGTAAAATTGGAGCATTACTCATTTTACAACTGCCTTTCTTAGCAACAGAAATTCTAGTCCCAATTGTGCTTATAAGTTGAGGACTACCTATATTGTGCATCATACTTTAAGAAATATTCAGAGACACCGGCATAAATTCAGGAAAGGGAAACAAGATGAAGAAACTTACCCTTTATTTAAAAAAAAATGCTGAATATGTTTAATGTTGAAAAACTGAACACTGTTTAAATTCCTGAAAAACCCCCACACATAAGTAATTCAAGTTATGTTCTCTCTTATTCTAAGCACAGAAAAAGAAATAATAGACTTAGATAGAATCGCATATTCTGAATGAAATTTGGGGTGAGTGGGTAGGAATCCTTATATGAAACGAAGCTTTATGGTGAAGCAAGTTACTCAGAAAAGTGGGTTTCCTTTCACTGGATATATTTAAGCAGAGACTAGAATAGTCATCTTCTTTGATTTTTTAACTGAAATTTCTGATCTGATAGGGGTTGGATTTGCAAACACATTTTTTTTAACCATACCCATTATTTTGTTTAATATAAAGGTTTTGGAGAGTAATTGGTAGAATTCCTAGTAATGTTGTCCAACTACAAAATATCTACATTAGTTTCTTCGCTACAAATTAAAAAAAAAAACAAGGAGAAAGGGGAGCTGGAAGAAAAAAGTACAGAATGATGATGATGCACATTTTTCCTCTGGTAACTGAAGGTTAAATGGGTAGCAAGGAAAATGCCTTAAACAAGATTGGTATATTGATTAAAATGCTGATTTAACAGCTCGTTTTTTCCCCTTGGAAACCTGGAAAAGATAAACCAGCTGCTATCTAAGAGTGCTGAATGTCCACTGAGAGTACACTATCTATCATCACAATATGGTGATGAGAGGTGTTTTATGTTTGTGTTAATTTCCCCCACTAAATCAGTAATTATTGCAATCCTGTCCCTGCTGTTTACCCTGCAGCTGTTTTTCCATTTGTCGAGAGAGAGGGTGTTCTCTGAGGATCGCACACGCTTCTATGGTGCAGAAATTGTGTCTGCTTTGGACTATCTGCATTCTGGAAAGATTGTATATCGTGATCTCAAGGTAAAAAAAAAGTAATCAAAATGTTGTTTTTGAAGAGACTACTGGGAGAAACAAAGTAATTATGAAAGTTATGCTATTTTGAGAAAAGTAACTAGAAAATTGTGGTCTAGATAGAAGTTCATCAAAATGCTTATTATTCAATTTTATATTGTGAATTGTATAACTTGGCATTTGTTTAAATAATTCATAAGAAAGATTCAGTTTAGTGATGTGAATAAAGGAATGTGTTAATTCTGTTGCTTCTTTTCATCGAACACATGAAATCATGTATATAGTATTTATATATCATATATAAATACTACAGTTATAATTAAACTCCATAAATGAAAAAGGGACTTTAGTTTTTAAATGTTCTAAGAGAATGTTCAATGCTAACCTATCTCAGTAAATACAGAGGAGCCCTTTTGCCTAGGTTCATTTTGAATATTCAGTTAGTTCGCCATGATTGGAAGGGTTATTTTTCCTCGTTGGAACTGGCTTTGACACATTGAGGATTCTTTTGTTTTTACTTTAAACTTGGGTAAATCAAACTTAAGTGTTGATGTTTGGTTAGAAGTTCATATTCATTTTAAATACAATGTTTCATATTTCCCCACTGTGGTTTCATATTTTGAGAAGCATGTCAGTACCTAAATAATTCAAAAAAATTGGCATATTTGATTAAAGTAAGGACTATGAAGGGCTTCTTCGACAGGAAAATGGACTAGATATGAATCATTAAAGAGAATAATTACATAAGATGGATTTACTGTTTGCAGATGTTCTTTCCAGTTGTATATTTATCCTCAACAGCCCAGAACCTAACCATGTTAGCAATCCTGTTACTTGTAATACCTACTGCTACTTCATTTTCATGTAGATTTTGACCTATAAGCATTCGGTTAGTGACCATTCCATGTTTTAACGGTGCTGATCGAATGGTTACTGCTGGTCCTCTGAATTCCAGCCATTTTAGCACCCCTTGGTTACTTGATTGCAATCTGGATACTTAGCAACCTGTTCGCACTTATGAGTGGTTGCCAAATGTCCTGTGATCATGATCACCATTTGCAAACTTCCCTACTGTCTTCCCCAAAAAGTTATAGGGAAGCAGGCAAACAAGATTGCAATTCCCTGGGCTAAGTCTTCCCCATCTGTACACCTTCCTCCAGCTCCTATGTGCTTGCACATGCCAGCCACTCGAGTACACCCATGCGCCCGACCCACGACACATCTCGCACATCATGTCTGATCCCTGTAGCATCTCTTATGTACCCTCCCCGACCTGCACTATGCCTCTTATGCTCCCCTCTGCACCATCACCACACCTTACCTCTTTTGTACCCCCTTGCACTTTGTATACCCTCCCTGACCTGCATGGCATCTTCATACCTCATACTCTTACACACCCTCCCCAACTCATGCAGTTCCTCATGCCAATAAAGGAGAATATATGTAGCTCAGAGTTGAAATGAGGGGTCATTGGTTCTCTCTGAGCTTGGTTGTTTTCTTACAGACGTTTCATTACCAAACTAGGTAACCTAATCAGTGCTAGAAAGAAATGAGGTTTACTCTCAGTTTATATTGCAGTAGGCCTATGACAGCATGCCATAATATAAACTGAGAGCAAACCCTACTGCGAGCACCTAGGACCCCTCGTAATGCCTCATGAATTCTGTTGCAAGCCTCCCCAACTGACGTAACCCCCCTGACCCTCTTGTTCCCTACCTCACCCACTTACCTGCCTGCAAGCCTGGGACTTGCAAGTTCCTGCTGGCTTTCCCAATGACTTTGGTCGGGGGAAGTCAGCAGACAGTTGCTTCACCTAATGACTCTGGGATTTAGTTAATGATGGAAACTAGAACTGCAGGAATTGCCGTCACTAAGTGATGGGATTGTGCTTTATGATTGTATCGCTTAGCGACAGAAATCCCAGTGACAATTGCCATCATAAGTCAGAGATTACCTAAGTTCCTATGATACAAAATGTGGGAGCTTTCCCTCACTTAGTAAACTGCTATACTTCTTTGGCAGATGTCCTCACTTTGGTTGTTCTCACTTGGTTGCCATCAAGTACTGATGGCAACTGTACTGCATCCACCAAATGTTCAGCTAGTGATGGCTCATATTTAGGTAACTGCATAATTTCTGCTTTCCGTGCATGCTTCTGGTATACCTAAAACCTCAATCTAAAACCTCAAGCTGCTGTCTTGCTCCAGCTTTTACTGAATTTCCCAAGTTGGTGCCTTATGAGATACTATGCTCACATTACTGTGGTCGCTTTCCTTTTTGGATGATTTTTTTTATTTAAGTTATATTGAGATGTCATTTGGGGGCCAGGTCCACAGAAGAAAAGCATGTAAAATAAAAGTATAGATAATAGTAACGGTTTCATGATATCCCAAACTTTTGAATATTTGCTTTCTTTTGGTATTCTGTCACATGTCAGTGTGTGTGTGTGGGTGCACGCACACGCTTAACTAATTGATAACTTCACAGGACATATTTGTGCAGTTCAGTCTGAGCAGATTAGCTCAGGAAGTGTTACTCTGTTTTAAAACTTTGCATTTTGGGTTATCAAAATCCCTCAACTCTTTACCCAATGCATGGGAGTTGTGGTCATATGTCATTGCCAAAGGAGCTGTTGTTGTTTTATATCAGAGGAGGAGGATAGCATGTTCTGTTGAAAGAATTGAATTGTTACCTGGAGAAGTGACTGGATCCAAAGCATTTAATTTTCTCTCTTCCTCCCCCCTCCCTATTTTTCAACTTGTCACAAACTATCTTGTGTTTTTCCATTTCTGATTAGGATAACTCTCAATATTTTTGTAGTAGTTTAGAACTGACTATAGTCAAAGTCAAACTGTTTTTTATGATATAAAATACTATATAGGGGGGTTGTAGTCATTTTTAATTGGGGGCCTGAAAAGAAATATGTATAAAAGGGTTGAAGCTAGGTCCTCATAAATAGCATATTATTTTTTTCTAGACTGCTCTACTAACTACAGTGGAGGAATTCTTACTACTTAGAAAATTAAGTATTTAGGAGATATTTAAAACAGATTACATATACCAGAAATTAGAGCTTTCATTTCTGGTACTGGTTTTACATAGAAAGTAAAGAAATTAGACAACATTTGTGAATATATAACTGCAGTGAAATAGTATAGTTTGTACCTTTTGTGCATTGCCCAGAACCATGGATGGATAGCTATATGCAGGTAGTTCTTGACTTACAATCGTTCTTTTAACAATGGTTTGAAGTTACAACATGGGAAAAAATGAATGTATAACATATCCTGAAAAATATGATCATTTCATTTTCCCTGTGGTCACATGATGGCAATTCAGGTGCTTGGCAACTGGCTCGCATTTACAATGGTTGCAGTATCATGCAATCATGTTATCACAATTTATGACCTCCTAGCCAACTTCAGACAAGCAAATTCAATTAGGGAAGCTGGATTAACTTAACAACCATATGATTCACTTAATGACCACTGTGATTCATTTAATAGCTGTGTTAAATCAGATCATTGATCTAATGATTCACTTACTGACTGCTTCACTTAGTGATAGAAATTCTGGTCCCAATTGTGGTTGTACAAGGACTATCTGTAAATGGTTTAAATAAATACATAACCAGCCAACCAACCAACCGGGAGTTCTTTCTATTGTGGAAGATTGTCACTGTGAGTAATACTTTCAACACCTTTCTATAAGATACAGTCGATTGACAAGCATAAAAAAGTAGTTCATAACTATTATTTCCTTAGTTTTTCAAGGCTTTTGAGAAAGTATTTTGTGTTTGATATATGAATTTTGTTTGGTATTGAATAGATTTCTTTTATTTTAAATGATGTGAATACAGATCCATTCTTCAGATGCTTGTAATGGTTTTACTTGATGAATTTTAATAAGCTTAAATATTGGCATTACTGAACTTTGGTCACTTGAAACCAGATTGGAATTTGATACTAATTTCTTATCAAAATTATATTCAGACAGCTTTTTGATCAGTGATCAAGTCTCTTTGTACGTTCGGTCTTTGTGTATTCAAAGCTTTAGAGGTTAAAGATTTGAAAAAGAGGAGTAGGGATCAGACTATTAAAGTGTGTTTTAAATATGGTTGTGATAACAAGGAAAGTGCAAAAAAAATCAAAAATACTTCTTAAAAAATCCTCTAAAAACAAACAAAGCAATCTCCCAGAATGTTTTTGTTGTTCCAGGCTTAATCAAAACAAAATCTTAGAATGATTTTCATGAGGAAGTAGGAAGAATGATGCCATTTTCTCTCTTCATTCTTCCTTTCAGCTACTGCCTGTTGAGAGGAACCTCTACCTTCCTGACCCTTACTTTCCTAATGTCCTCCCTTCCCTTCTTCCCTTAGCTGCTGCCATTGACATCTGTGGGTTTTTATTGGTCTTATTCCTTCCATTCCAAGAACTACCCAATATTTCTGTGGTTTAGTCAATATCTGGAATAAAACAACAGTTTCATTTCGGTGCAGAACAAAACTTCTTGAATATTTGTGTTCATGTATTGCAACTATTCCGTGTATGAAATATTATATGCACTAAAATGTTTTGCACATTTCTACTACTACTAATAGTTAATTTCTTCATATCAAGACAGAAATTGAAAAAGTATATTGAAATATTATTCAGTAGAGATGTCATAGAAACATATCCCTACTTACAAGAAGGTGGCTTGCATATTTTGGTACTTATAAGATACTCCCTGTAGTACAGGTAGTCCCAACTTACAATAGTTCATTTAGTGAGCTTACAGTGGCACTGAAAAAAGTGACTTACGACTGCTTTCACACTTACGACTGTTGCAGCATCTCCATGGTAATGAGATCAAAATTCAGTTGCTTGGCAACTCATATTTATGATGGTTGCCATGTCCTGGGATCATGTGATCCCTTTTGTGACCTTCCAACAAGCAATGTCAGTGGGGAAGCCAGATTCACTTAACAACCGTGCGACTAACTTAACAATTGCAGTGATTCACTTAACAACTGTGGTAAGAAACATCATCAAATGGAGTAAAACTCACTTAACAAATGTTTCATTTGGCAACAGAAGTTTTGGGCTCAATTGTGGACATACGTTGAGGACTACCTGTACTAGAAAGTAAAGTTACAATAGCACTCTAGTCCTTGCCAAGTTGAAAGGCTACAGGAACTGATGGAATACCCACAGAAATATGGCAAGCAACGGAAGAAGAATCAGTAAAGAGTCTAACCAAGCTTTGCTAGAAAAATCTTGAGAATAACACAGTGACCAACAGATTGGAAAACATCAATTTGCATACTGAAATAAGGAGATTTAATAGAGTATGCGAACTATTGTACAATATCCTTAATTTCACAAGCTACCAAAATAAAGCTTATAATCATCCAATGCAGATTAGAGCCCTACATAGGAAAAGAGTACCAGATATTCATGCTAGCTTTAGAAAAGAAATAAGGAACAAGAGACATTATTGCTGATGAAATGAGAAAGCCAAAAAATAGCCCAAGGAATTCACTATATGCTTCATTCATTATATAAAGGCTTAAGATTGTTGCTCATGTCAAGGTGTAATTTCGGCTTAGCAAAATAGGAATCTTAAAAAAAAACTTTGTCCTAATGAGAAACTTATTATATACAGCCAGGAAACTACAATATGGACAGCACATGATGAAACCCTCCTTCTGCAAAATCCAGACTGATATTTGTCCTTTTGAGGTCAGGCAGATTTTCCTAGGCTATTTAGACAATTTTACTTTTGTTCCCTGTGTGTGTGTGTGTAGATGGAAATGGTCTCTGGAAATAAAATAATGTATTGCAGGTTTCCTCACATTGGCGGATCCAACAGTTTTTTTTTAAAAGACTTATTTTCTTGTAATAGAAACAAACTGGAGCATTTCCACTTACCGTCGTTCTTGATTCCTTTTTCCTCACTGGGTCCACTGACTATTTCTGCCATTCCCTTGTGCTGCCTGAAAAAAACTTACTAACTTTTTAGTAAGTTCCTCTCCATCTTTTCTTCTTCTGCATTCTTATCTCTACTACTCTCATGAGGAGTAATTAGAATCTACAGCTGGTTCAAAAGGCCCACATGATAACAGGTCAAGCATGCTTAAACAAATGCAGGTAGTACTTGACTTATGACCACAACTGAGCCAGAATTTCTGTTATAAGTCGTTGTGGTCATTAAGCAGGTCACCATGTGACCTGACTGAATTTTACAACTATTTTTACAATGGTCATTAAGAAAGTCACCATGGTAATTGAGTAAATCTGATATATGCAATGGGTGTTTTTTTACCATTTTCTATACCAGTTAGTTAGTTCTAAGTCTGTGAATTCTACATCTATGGTGTTCATATTTCTTTCCAATGAACGTACTGCTTTCATCACATTCCTTTTGTGAGTTTAATATATCTATTAAATGGCTAGATGCATGTGAATATTTTCCACAACCATTATCATTTCATCACACTTTTTAAAAAAGCTTTCAAATAAGTATTGTATTTTGCCAAAGTCTTTTTTCAAATGTCAGACACATTTGTTTGTCTGTATCCTGATACATTGTTTCTCTGTGTAACTTGGCAATGATAGATAAAAGAACACAGTAATCCAGAATGAAAAAATAACTTAAAAGGCATCCTGAGAGTGGGAAAAAAAACTAAAAACCCAGGGAAGATATTTTCTATACATTTCAATCCAAAATTTAAAAAAGAATAAAAAAAAAATAACTTCCAAACATTTTACAAATTGGTAAAATACAAAATCCTGTAGTGAGAGTCCAAAATAGATGTAAAGTCAAATGGAAATACTTTCATTACCCCAGAACATGGCATGTTTTCCTTGTGAAAAAGCAAAAGTTATTCAGAAAAACAACATAAATCAAAGAGAAGAAAAAGAACAGATAAAATCCAGCAGGGGGATAAAATAAATCAGCATTCAACCAACTGGTCAACTTTTAAAGATAAAAAGCAAAATAAAACAAAGCTTCAAAAAGTGGAGTTTAAACCCAGGCATGCTTAAGAAAATGAGCTGTCGAGAGGAAAGATGACTTTGTGACTGCTCCCAGAGGGAACTCTTCTCTCCAGACTCCCCTTCTCAGGAGGGTCCACAGCCTCTGAAAGCCGTTTTGGGTCATTCTTAAGTGTTCCCATTCAAATCCATGGAGCAGCTTTACCAAAGAATCAGCTTTGGCAGCAAAATTGGTAGATCATTGGCAGGAAAAAGAAAAATTCTTAATGTTCAGCAGTCATCTTAGGGAGGAGTCTCTTCTGTGTCATTTAATATATACTATTTTCAATACTCCAAGCTATGTAAATAGCACTAGCACTAGCAATAATACTTATATACTGCTTCACAGTGCTTTACAGCACTCTCTAAATGGTTTACAGCAGTGGTTCTCAACCTGTGGGTCGGGACCCCATTTGGGGTCGATCGACCATTTCATGGGGGTCGCCAAGCAACCTGTCCGCCATTTTTTTGTCCGCCATTTTTTTTGACCGCCATTTTCCCCCCTTTTCCGGCAGGTGCCTTACCTCCCTTGGGCTGGGCCAGCTGGTGGTCGGCCTGCTCTGTCTCTGCCGCTTGCCAACTACGCCTCGGCCAGCGCAGGGGGCGGAACCATGCATGCGCGGCTCTCCCGGGCAGGGAAAGTCCTCGACTTACGACCGGTTGGGTAGTCCTCGACTTACGACCGGTTTAGTCCTCGACTTACGACCGGTTGGGGTCGCGGCATTAAAAAGGTTGAGAACCACTGGTTTACAGAGTCAGCAAATCCCCTCCTCCCAACAAGCTAGGTCCTCATTTTACCAACCTTGGAAAGATGGAAGTCTGAGTCAACCTTGAACCAGTCAAGATACTGGCAATGGGCAGAGTCAGTCTGCAATATTGCATTCTAATGATTGCGCCACCATGACATTAGAATGTCAACAATCTTTAATTATATAAATATTAATGTATTGAAATTGAAATGATGTAGTGTATCAAGATTTATAATAATTCAAATGAAAGAAAAAAGGGAAAAATCTTTATTTTAATACTTGACTATTGTACAAGTGCTTCTAATGTCAGTGTAGTATATCACGTTCTTCATGCAGCTAAGGTTATTATTACCATACTGAACAGAACAGAATAACAGAGTTGGAAGGGACCTTGGAGATCTTTTAGTCCAACATCATGCTCAGGCACCCTGTCCTATACCATTTCAGATAAATGGTTGTCCAATCTCTTCTTAAAAACTTCCAGTGTTGGAGCATTCACAACTTCTGGAAGCAAGTTGTTCCACTGATTAATTGTTCTAACCATCAGGAAATTTCTCCTTAGTTCTAGGTTGCTTCTCTCCTTGATTAGCAATCAGTCACCTTGATTAGTGATTGATATGATGAAGAAATTTCCATTGATGATTTAGCAAGGGGAGCAATTGCTAAAATATGAGTTATAGCATCTTGATTCAAATCCCATGATTTATGTAATTGTATCAGAAATCACTAATCATAAGTATATAATGGTGTTTGCATCATGATATACCGCATATGTGATAGAATTTTTCAGTCTTCATGACTTGCTGCAAACACCTTTAGTTTCTACATAATTACAGAATAATGAACTTTGGCCACAGTATATGAAGACATTAAACTGAGTTCTCTTTCCTGGCAGCTTTAGAATTCCAATTGCCCACAGTATAGAATTTGGCTCATTAAAACAAGAAGCTAATTACATTATCATTTCACTTTTTCTGTACAGTGTATGAACTGTTTTATATAATTCTGGTGGTTGCTCTTTCATATTTAAGAAGATAGAATACTACTACATAGAGTAGTGCTGCAGTTCCCTCTAAGGTTAAATGGTTGTGTGTTTAACAGTGAAGCAAGGTGCATGGATATGCATATCAAGATACATATGAGCCACTTTTTAAATGATCGGATGTAATACCCTCATGTTCAGCAGCACCTCTTTTGTAGGATTTGGCAAGTCCTGGTAATCATGCTATAAAAATATAAATAGCAGTTATATAAATGAAGTAAGTAAATATGAAATTAGATATAAAGAAACGTAATTATTAGATATGCTGGTATTTTGTTTTTCTTAGAATAATAATATTCTATAATTAGAATTAGAATAATATTAGAAGAGAAAAAGCCATTATTGGTTCTTCAGAAAGAGTAAACGAGGGTATATTAAAATGGAAACAGCACACTGGGTTAAAGGAGTAAAGATACGTAAATAAATCTGTAATTTCAATCAGTTCAAGTGACCTTTAAGCTAGTTTTAAAGGAAAAAAAACATTAAAATATCAGATTTGTCATTATCCATTACTTTTACTTATAGCAAAATTGTAACAGAATTATTACATGGCAGGTGGGGTTTTTTTTTGTCTTTAATTGAGTGTTTTTTATGTGTCTTTGTAAAATACAGTTAGAAAATCTAATGCTGGATAAAGATGGACACATAAAAATTACAGATTTTGGACTTTGCAAAGAAGGAATCACAGATGCAGCTACTATGAAAACATTTTGTGGTACTCCAGAATATTTGGCTCCAGAGGTATGTCAGCACTTTATATTCTAAACTCTTACATTTTCTTTAATCATAAAATGCTTTGGAATGGTAATCTTCATATTTTAATACTTGCAGATACTATTACAAAGGGTACTGTATTTATTATAGTTTTTAATTTATAATTTCTGTAGTGGAATCTGTCTGCCATATAAATTATAAATTCTCTCTTCCCCCTTTCTCTTTCTCCCTTTCTCCCTCTTCACCCTTCCCCGTCCCTCCTTTCCCCTTTTCTCTCAAAGGAATCTTCTCTTTTTTTTTCTTTCTCTTGTAAAGCATTTATCTTTTCACACAGAGAAAACTAAATGTTAAGTTAGTTCACAAAATTTCTTAAATTAGATGAAAGAAAATAAGGAGATGAGAATTTTATTTCCAAGTGAAGTTTGGAGGAAATTCAAGGAATGTTGCTGATATAACTGCATGAAAAGAGTTGTAGCTTAATCTGAACAATTTGTCACCTAAGATAACAGTGAAAATATTTTTGCCAAGTTTTCATTAATGTTTATTTAAAGGTCATCTTTAGAGTATATTTGTCTCTTAAAATCAAAATGATTTTGAAAGGAAGATTTTTATTATGATCTTTGTCTGCGTCTTGTGATTGAACCAGGAAACCTGTGACCTACTCTGGATGGGTACATGAATATCCATTATTCTTTGTGAATTCTTCTGCAGATGAGGATTTTTATGGGGAACTACTTAGTAAGACAGATGGGCAATGAGGTTCCTGTTGGCAGAGCTTCATTGAGAGTTTGGCAATAAATCTCACTCTAGAAAATAAAACCTGCTCTTAGGAGCTAGCGGAAGAGAGTCAAACTCAAGTTCTCATAGATAAGTTGTTTTACTGAAGAAAAAAGAAGCCTTTATATTGAAAATCAGCTGCTTCAGTATAATTAAGCTTTCTACTATTTAATAGTTCCAGGATTTAAATTTTATGTGTCTTTCTTCTTTCCTTATGTGGCAATGCATTTATAGTTATTTTTTTCTTGACCTAAGATGTGGAGGAGACCTCTGTTGTGTTTTAATAACACTTTTGTCTGATTTCAAGCTCTTTCTAGCCTTAGCAGCTTCTTTCCTTATATCTGTACTCCTTCTTAATTTTGTTTTACCTGCAGAATTATCAGCAGCCTAGGGAACATTATCCATCTTTTTGAAACACTTAGTCTGTGATTAGATTTCCATAGCTTTAAACTTCCCCAACTTACTTCATGCAGTTCTACATGATGTTTTGGATGATTAGTCCCCATTTTTAAAAATGATACAAATGATACTTTTGAACCAGTGACCTCTAGAATTCCATTTTGTAAATATGTCAGGTGTGATAGTAATGTTCCACCTACTCCTTGTATTTGAGAAAAAGACACTTCAACATTTATGAAGCAGGTAGTATGATAGAACAGATCATCATCTTTTAGAGGGTTGTGATAGGACAAGGCATTCCAGGTATCTACCTGTATCTTGGGGTTGCATTCTAACTTCAGTATCATTTGTTATAGACTTCCTCTTTCTGTAGCCCAGCTCTTGATCTTGTTTCAATGCCAGTTTCTTAATGATACCTGCTAATGACCTTAACTTAAGATGCATATTGGCTTCTGGACACTCTGGGGAGTACTGATCCCTCCCCAGAACTCTAAAAAGACCAAGACTATGAGATGATTAAATAAGCAGCATGTTCTGAAACACGGTGGAAAAAAATGGAATGAACAAAATAAGCTATCTGATAGGCCTTATCCAGGTCTAATAGTGCCTGTTAGAATTTTGGGAGCTATATTGTTGCTTCCTTCATTTTGAAACTGTTCTGTTCTTCTAGAAGTGGTATCCAAAGTGGAAATTAGGGAGGCACCCCCTCTAGTCCATGGAATTATAAATACTTAATCTCATCCCTTTTGTAAATGATGGGATTGCCATTGTAAAACTCCTTTGGACTAATGCATAGCATATTCCCCTCTTCTTCCTAGTGGAAGCTTAAGAGGTACACTGGATTCCTGATTTTAGTGATAGCCATCCTGGTCTTCAGACTACCACTATCATAACTCAGACTACTGTCTCTTCCCATCTTGGAGCCAGAATATATCCTTGGTTCATGAGAACCTGCGTTTTGGTCACTGCCCATCTCATTTCTGCCCACCTTCAATTATAAGCTGGAACTATTTATATAACAGTTTTGTCTTAGCAAATGAGGTGCTTTAATGCCTGAAGCTGACAAGGCAGGTATAAGCAGTTGCCTGTCTAGCAATGGCCATTAAATAAAGTTACCACAGTTGTCAAGGTTCCAAATGACTTACTATTTTCCATTAATTGAGGAGGATGGAAGGAAGATGCATCGAATTTAAACCTTTGTGAATATATATAAATGTCTGATATCTTTGTATAGCAGTGGGCAGTCAACCATACGGGTGAAGTTTCATTCTTATCGGCAGTAAAGATTCTGTTCTAGTCATGTTTGTGAATCTTTTGTCAAATCAAGCCAAGAGGTTGAGCTAAGATCTCAGTCTTTGTAAATTAGTGATTTATTTTTGTGCTTTGGTGTGAAGCCTGATAAAAAAAAAGAGAAACTCGGTGGCTCACAGTTCAAAGACTTTCAGCCTACAAGAGCTGCCTGCTGAACCATTTAATGCTTGAGGCTATCAGTCCAGCACTACATCTTTGGATATATTTTCTTACCTTTCTCAATCCCTAATCAATTATATATTCCATCTACGGAGAACAGGTCATATATGGAAGAATTACTCCAGATGGTAACTGCTCTTGGCCTTGAAGCACACTAATATCAGCAACCAAATCAATAGATGACTCAAATTATTCATGTAGCTACCTGAACAACAATGATACTTCAGCCTTTACTACAGCCTTTGCTACTACTGCTTAAAATAACCATGGATGCATGACGAAAGTCAGATTAACTACTCCTCCCCCAAAAGTTAAAATGTATAAAAGAATTGATGCTATTGTTTTTCAAATTCATCATCTAGCTCTGTAAGCAGTTCAGGGCATATCTTGCACTCTAAGTCATTTGGTGCCAGTAAACAAAAACAGAAAACTAGGTATCTCCATAGCCTTGCTTATTTGACATTTTACTTCTATTTGTATTTTGTGATTTTTCTCAATTCTTTCTCTACTATTCTGCTGTCTACAGGTATTGCAATCTCCACCATCCAGACTTTTTTGTCTGTCTTATCAACAATTTTGAAGTCTGGGGTGTTATGTGGCAGATGCTTATCTGTTTGAATTCTAAAGTCCCAGAGCTTTTTAGCATCTTCAGTTTCTATTACTTTGTCTCTTTGGGGCCCCACTAGTTCTTGCTTGCAGGCAAATGGTATTTCTTGCAGATATTCCAATATTCTATTATTGCTACTTTGTCATGCTGTTCTTTATAGTCAGTCTATGCAATTTTCTTGCAGAGTGAGTCTCCTTGAAAAATTTCTCTCTTTGTTATTAACGTCTCCCAGTCTACCACCATTAATTATTTGTAATAGTTGTTGGATCCACTTTTAGCAAAACCATCTTCAGTTCACCATTTCTTCCCTAGAGGTTTCCCCAGTTGAACTATTTTATTTCTTCTTGCATGTCAAAATTAGTAATAATTTTGGGATTTGGGATTTTCTAATGAATCTTCATTGCTGAGCTAGGCAATTATAGAATTTATCTCCTATTAGAGGACTCTGTGAGCACTATGGAAAAAATTAACCTTATTTACACTGAAAGCATAGTAAACTATTGTGCTGTTTTCTTGCAGTGACTGCATTTCTGTAGCATTATTCAAAATAAAATGTTGCTCACATAAAGATACAACAACACTTGAAGTGTTAAGTACATTTTTGGCATTTCAGCTTCATTATGTCCAGTCCTCAAATGCATGAACACATAATCATATGAATATTAGTTATTTTTCACATGCTTATGTGATCACACAAAAAGTACATGCTAAAAAGAAACAGATGGTGACAGATGGGAAAGGTTGAATAAGGTGGTTTTGGAATCCTAGAAAATGTACTTTTGTAATAGTATAAAAATAAAACTTATTTGAATGCCAAGTAAGAATATAGAGAACAATTGATTGGTAATTGTTTTCATATAATGGTAATTTTGATTAAATGACTTTCACTGTCAATATTCTATCTTATTTACAGTATATTAAAGCCTGATATAAAAGAATGGGCTTATATGCGAACATTCTTGAAAGTAAGAACTCATTACTTAGTAACATTTGGCTTTGGAGTTTATTTTTGTATCACTGTTCCATAAAATAATATTTAGCTGGATAGGGGGAGCCTCTCAGAAAGTAAATAATTTTTATTTTTCAGTTTTCCTGAAGTACAGTTTTTATAATACTTCAAAGCTAGATTTAAAATTGCTACTCAGTTTTATATTTAACTATGTGCCTAAAACTATTCATGTTCTCTTAGTAATCTCATTAAATTTCTGAAACAGCTTCTGTCCATTATGTAAAGTTTGTTTTGCATAATTGGAAAGGGCCATTTAGGCCATCAAGTCCAGTCTCCTGCTCAGTATAGGACTCTAAATTAAACATGTCTGACAGATGGCTGCCAGCCTCTACTTGAGCACAACCAGTGAAAGGAGTTCACCTCCTCCCTTGATTTTGTTTTTAAATAGTAGTCTTTGATGTTCCAATCCCAGTTTATTTGAAAATGCACAACTATTGAAAAGACAGTCCATCAGGGCTGTATAATGTAGTCAGTGATCAATCAGAGAATTTTTTTTTTAAACATGGATAAAATAAAAGACATCCCTAATTAATAACATGAAGTATTTTGACGATAATGTTTTATTAAAGTAAAAAAGGATGGATAGATAGAAAGAAACATATTCTGTACCTTCTCCCCAAGAATATTTTGATGGGTCAGTTTCATTAGAGTCCTGATGGGGCAGTGGGTAAAAATATAGGATTGCAGGCAAACTCTGCTCACAGCCTGGAGTTTGATCATGACGGGGCTAAAAGGTTGACTCAGCCTTCTATCCTTCCAGGCTGGTAAAATGAGGATCCAGATTGTTGGGGGCAATATGCAAATAATGCTTCAACGTTGTAAACCTCCCAGAGAGTGTTATAAAGTGCTACGGAGCAGTATATAAGCCTAAAATGCTATACTAAATGCTATTAGTAATGTCCCAAAGTTAATCCAACAGTTGTCAGTTGCAATTTGGGGACTTGGGATACAGTCACATTTCAGAACAGTGTGTTTTTATCCATATGTCCACTGTATTGAATGTGTTGAGATTGTTTACAGTGGAAATAAAATATTCAGAACTTGTTTCTCCCATCAGAAGTAAAATTATGCTTGAGCTCAAGTTTGTGTGCTTATTCTGGAATCATGTCTGGTTCTTAGAGGTGGCCTGGAGAAGTCCTTGCAGTTTTCTTGGCCAGTTTTTTGGGACTGTTTCCTTCCTGGGGCTGAGAGAAAGTGACTGGCCCAATGTCACTGTTTCCTGGTTTCTAGCCTGATGCCTTAATCATTACAACAAACTGTTTCTCAATTGTGGTTTAACACTGTCCAAACTAAGCTCACTATACTCAGTGATATGAAACATAATATTCATAGTAAAAATCAAGATGAATAAATTGGAAAAGAGAAACATGATGCTGTAGTTGGATTTTTCTTGAAAACTTAAAATAGTTCTGTCTATTGCAAGAAGTTGTGTGAGTAAAATCATGTTTTAAGTTAAGACAATCAAATAATCTAATAACTGGAAACCATGACTTTTGTTAGCTGTTGTTTTTAAATCTTTGAAATTTATTGACGTATCCTAATTTATAGAAAATATTATTTATTATAACAACTGATAAATCCCAGCTTGATATGGTAAGGTTCAATTGAAGTGTCATATTTTGTCTAAATTATTCAAAAGTTTCTAGATCTGTTTCATTAGATATTTTATTGGTGGTGCCCACAAAGTAAATGTTAGGTTTTATTAAGTATACTTTAAAAAAAAAAAAAAAAAGCCTCAGACACTTCATATTTTACCAGGTATATTTTTCCTTCTTTTAATGCAAAAGGGGATCCCCATTCTAAGTATGTTACAACAGATATGTGAATGGTGTAACAATAACAAAGTTTGCTTTTCACCACGCTAACATTTTTATTCATGTATAAACTGAAATAGTTTAAATCATTTTTATATGATCAACTAAATCAGTTTAGTGTCAATTAAATGTAATAGTCCAAAGATGGTTTATATACTGTTAATATACTTATTGGGCAAGTATAATTTAATGCACAACAATGGTTCTGCATTACTGTCCATTCTTTTCAACACTGCAAAATAGTACTTTATCGCATTGATTATTAAAACAAGCAGAAAATCTCTGAAATACTGTTTTTATTTCTATACAAATAAACTCTTTCTAAACGTAATTGATATACATGCTAGTACACCATTTATTTAGATAGATGTAGGATTTGATTAAGTTTTATAGGCATAATCCCTATATATGAAGAAATACTTCTCTGTTTCATCTTAGTGCCATTCTATAAATTTACAGTTGTACCTTAACAATGAAGGGTGTTATTATACAATGATGTATACAATTGTATCATATGGTACTGGAAAAAATATAGGAATATTTTCTTTGTTCCAGCAGTCCTAATTATAACAGCAAGAACAACAACAATGGCATGACAAAGTACCAATAACAGTGCATTGGAATATCTGCAAGAAATATCACTTGTCTGCAAGCAAGAACTAGTGGGACCACAAAACAGACAAAGTAATAGATAACAAAGAAACTAAAGTGCTCCGGGATTTTAGAATTCAAACAGACAAGCATCTGCCACATAACACCCCAGACTTAACAATTAGTGATACGAAAGATTTTTTAAAAGTCTGGATAGTGGAGATTGCAATACCTGCAGACAGCAGAATAGTAGAGAAAGAATATAGAAAAAATAATCACAAAGACCTGCAAATAGAAGTAGAATGACTTTGGCAAAAGAAAACAAAAGTAGTATCAAACAAAATTAAACAAATTTAACCTTGAATAGAATGCCAAGATATCTGGAGCATCACTTGAACACCATCAGCATTGATAAAATCCTCACCAGTCAATTGCAAAAAGCTATTTTAGTTGATATAGATTACATTCTGCAAAAATATGTTTAATATTACAACAGTTATCTATCCCAGGGGTCTGGGAAGGACTCAATAGATGGACAAAAAGGCCAAATACAGCCTAAACGTCTGCCTGAATGTGCAACCAACCATAATAATAAGCACCTGCTACATAACACTCAAGAGTTAACATTGATAAGAAAGAAAAAAATATGTCTGGATAGTGGATGTTGCAGTACCCAAAGACAGCATAATAGAAGAGAAAAGAACTGGAGAAAATCAGAAAATACAAAGACCTGCAAATAGAAGTAAACCGGCAGTGGCAAAAGAGAACAAAGTTAGTATCAATAGTAATAGGTGCTTTGGGTGCAGTCCCCCAAAATCTGGCATACTGCTTGAAGACATTTGTCATTGACAGAATTACCATCACTCAATTACAGAATGCAACTTTATTTGGTACAGTTTATATCCTGTAATGATACCTTTAACAAATAACATTTGTCTATCCCAGATCCTTGGGAAGAATTCGAAAGGTGGATAAAAATGCCAGATCCAGTCTAAGCATCTGGCCGATTATACAACTAACCATAATAATTAAAAAATAGTGTCGTGTAGTCGTTAAGCTGTAAGATAGCCTAGTTGTAGTCTATCCTTGGCCAAGGAAGTTCACTGGATGGCTTTGGCCAATCACTCCCTCTGTCCAAGCTTCCTCAGAGAATTGTTTTGATGAATAATAGAAAAGAATGCTCTATATGCTGCTTTCCACTGTTGATTGAAAGACAAACATTAAACCAAACCTATGCCTTATATGTTGTTTAACTCTTAGAGCAGTGTTTCTCAACCTTAGCAACTTAAGCTGTGTGGTCTCCAATTCCCAAAATCCCTCAGACAACATGCTGGCTGAAGAATTCTGGGAGTTGAAGTCTACACAGAGCTTAAAAGTTGTCAAGGTTGAAAAACACTGCCTTGGAGCATTAAGTTTTGTCATAACAATGCCATAGCAAGTAGAAGATATTGTACTCCCTGTGGTATCTCCAGAACTTTTGCAACCATATCAGTGCTTCCAAAGTGGAAGATGGAAAAATGAAATACTTTACGACCAGGACTGTGCTCCACTATGCTGAATTGAATCCTTGATTTTAATAGATAAAACAGTAGAGCTCAAGGCACATAATTGATACTTTTAAAACAGATGCTCAAAAGTTAGCTTTTAAATAATGTACATCTGTGTTTACCTAGAAGGGTAATGACCTCGAAATGAAGATGCTGCCTTGTTTAAACAAAGACTAAATATAATACTATCATTTGTTTCCTGTTCCTTAGAAAACTATCATAATGTTCTCTTTTAAAGGATAATTATTTCAAAAGTAATCTGTTCGTCAGTAAATATATTTGTCTAAGTGTTAATGCCTTGATATTACTATTTTAGGTTTTGGAAGACAATGATTATGGTCGTGCAGTGGATTGGTGGGGCCTTGGAGTTGTCATGTATGAAATGATGTGCGGCAGATTGCCATTCTACAACCAGGATCATGAAAAACTTTTTGAACTCATTCTAATGGAAGATATAAAATTTCCTCGAACTCTCTCATCTGATGCAAAATCATTGCTTTCAGGTCTCCTGATAAAAGATCCAAATAAACGGTAAGTTTCAAGTATAACCATTAGATATTAAAATATACAAGGGAATGAAAAAGAATGAAATGAGAATTGCTGTTTAAAAAAATCCTGTTTAAGCAACATGATGCTCTTTTCCCCATAGTGAACAGGAATTAAATAACTGATAACTTTTCTCTCTTGAACTATGGACTTTTTATAGGATCAGAAGCAGCAAAGTTTATAACTGAAGAGGTAATATCTCTTAAGAACTAAAATAGTGCTTAGTTAGTGAATACTGGACTTTCCAGTATTTGAATTATATATTACATTTCTAAATGTAATAAATTAAGTGTAAAAGTGATTAATTGGTAATTAGTTGCTAATAATGGGATATAATTATTAAGATTGTAGGTCTGTTCTTGGCTCTCAAAACTCAAAAAGAGGTATTAATGCTTTTGGATTGAGATTACAATGATGAAGCATAGAAGTCGCCCATATTTTCCTGAAGTGAATTGTAACCTGCTATAGAGTTTCAGAGAAAATAATGGCTCTGCACTTATCAAATTACTTCCTTTAAGTAATTTAGGAATTTAGGTGTAAAAACGTCATGGTGTCATAACTCTAGTTGGGCACTCTTCTTCTCCTTGTAAATTCAGTTGTCTTGTTTGAATCAACAAGTTCTGCAGCTTAATTTAATAGATAGCAGTATTATGGAATGTAAGGGTATAACATAGCACCTCTCTGTAATTCTGTAAATTTGTCTTTTCCTAGGATTGACAGCAATGATCTCAGGAAAAGGCATATCTCAGTAGTTGCATGGAAGCAAATGCAGAATTTGCTACATTTTATTCATATTCCTTAGAAAACGGTCACAGACACCTATATTTTTATTTATACCTTTATATTTATACACATAAACACACAGTATAATTGTTCCTTTATGTTGCCGTATGCCATAATTGAAATCATAACCCTAATCATAATACTAATATGATGAAACATGCTTTATGATGCCATGATACAAGGGGAGAAGTTTGCATTGCAACTTTGTGGTACATTGCTCATTACAGGCTCACCTTGTTCCTCTTAGCAAACTAAAGTAGCATAAAAATACTCAAAATATATAATTTTAAATAGATTTTATGAAAAAAAATATATAATATAAACTACATTAAAAAAAAAAGATAGAGTAAATGTGAAAGAGAAAAAAGAACACAAACATATACAAACAAACATTTGAAAAGCCTTAGACATTGAATGAATTAGAAGGGAGTTATATCCTGAATATGTTTATGGCCTAATGAGAATATTTATAGTGAGGTAAGCAAGATAGTCTTATTGTATGAAGGAGAAAAAAATGAAAAAGCTAATTTTGAATAAGTTTGGTTATCTTTAAATGTAAACAGGGAAATGGTAACGTAACATTACTAAAATTATAGCATTATTTAAAAATGTATAAAAAACTGAAAAAAAGAGTAGAAAGAGTAGTTTTTTTTAACAAAACCAGAAAGTATGGTAGCAATTTTTAGAAATAAAACAGGAAAGTTATACCAAGCCATAGTGTAAAATATCACTTTCTCAAGATTGGAAATGTGTTCAAGTTGTTTTGATAAACACTGTGACTGATAGAAGCACTAAGGCATACTTCATAGGATCTCAATTTCCTGAATTGTGTCTTTTATCTTACAACACTTTCAGATATTATTACTTTGACTGATAGCTGCCAATCTCGCATACATGATGCTGGGTGATTTACAAAAAAATAAAACAAATAATATAAAATAAAAAAACATAGGATCCAAAAATCATAAAATAACCATCAACAATACCAACAGATTGGCTCTATCACATAGGAGGGGCCCAGTTGACGTAAAAGGAACAGAAATTGCAGAAAACTCTTTCTAATGTGCCTTTGTCTCATGCAAAATTCAGTTTTTGCTTTAGAATTAAAATCTGTATGAGCATTCCTATATTTTCAATCCAATTAGTTTAGATAGCAAATTTTAATAACTGCAAGTGAAAGTACATGAGTTCCAAATTGTATTAAGGAAGGTATATAATAATATATGCATTGTTAATTTTTCAAAACAAATTCTCCAACTTGAAAGTTGTGTTTTTAATTATTAAATGGCTTACTTATTAAATCTCAAGTTATTTCATGGAATAAATTTAATTTTTTTTAGGGATCACATGGGTCTCTGGGTATTTTTTTCCCCTCTTTTCTTTTTTTTACTAATAAGAATTGTATTATTTACACTCTTCCCCCCAATAGTCTTGGTGGAGGACCAGATGATGCTAAAGAAATTATGCGACACAGCTTCTTTGCTGGAGTAAATTGGCAAGATGTATATGATAAAAAGGTAGGTTTATATCAGATAAAACAGAATCCCTAAGAAATCCCAAAGAGAATATACCTTATTTCAAGTACAACAAATGTATATCAAGTAAATGCATATCAGGTAAAAGGTAGCAAACTAGCAAACAACAACAAACCCCCAGTATAGCTAAGCGTATCCTTCTTGTTTGCTTCATGTTCCAATGGTGGGAAGGAAACTATTGCAGCTCTGCAAACCATTCTGAAGGATGCTTTGCTGCTCAGAGTCTTGAGGTATCTGTGATTTTTGAAGTCTTTGTGTGGCCATTTTAGGACTTTTTCTTAGGGACAGTGAAAGCATTTCCATTGGGATAGTTGCTGAAATGAACCATCTTACCTCAGTGTTCCAAGCAGAAGATCCAGAAGATCACTTTCTGTAGCTTTCCTGTCAGTAGCTTACAACTTTTTTACTCATCTTTCCTTTGGACTTTATAAGCCTAATCTATAACTTAGTGTAAGTCTTGAAGTACTATGTCATATTGAAGAAGGAATTCTTGTACGGGCTATTAGTATTGCTGCAAAATTTGGGTTGGAGGGAGTGTTAAGCGTCCTCAGGTAATTTTTAACATACTGAAACTTTACAATGTGACAGCATTTTAATATTACTTAAATATGTTTCTTTGAAAATCTATTTTTAAAGGATTTTCAAACATCCCTTAATCTAGGTTTGGGAAAGAATATTAGTTAGGTTTTTGTCTATAGCTGAGGAACAAGAAAGGAAATTGCTCAGAAGTAATTCTACATACCTTTCTTGGGTTTTAGGGCCAAATATCTTTGGTGAGAGTGAGTGAGGCCCTTCCAACCTTGTATTGTGTGGGTTCATTTTTTTAATTACTATCTTTTTTTCATCCTTGCCATATTTTATTCTTCAGTTTTGTTTATTTTGTTTATTTTATCTTGTTTTTAGTGTTTTTATTTGTGAACTGCCTGCAGTTGTTTGATGTTGGGCAGCATATAGATTTTAAAATAATTACAAATATTTTCCTAGTTCCAAATTATGTTGAATATTTTCTGAGATCTCTGAATTAACAGTGTACGCATTGAGATTAACACAGTTTAATAATTTGCAGCAGAATCCTCTGCATATTTTTCTAGAAATCAAACTATGTTTGGTGGAACTTATTATTTGGTGAGTGTTTACAGGGTTGTATTATTAAAGATTGATGAATTATAAATTAAAACAATGGGGAAAGTTTATGTCAAATTGTATTGATTTATCACATAGTTTCAAACTTCTTTTTTAAAAACTAAAGGGAAGGGAAAATGCTTTTTCACTGATATTTATTTGGTATTGAAAAAATAATTTAGCAAATATAAACATAACACGTTTTCTGTGGCAATTTGCAACTTGCTGTAGAGTTGGATACTACTGGAACAGTACATGAACGCTGACAGCAAATAAATAATGAAGCTAATTAGCAAACGTCAGCTATTTTATGCAATTCCCAAAAAAATTCACACTATTCAAAATAGAAGAGTAAATTTATTAACATTTTCCCAATCTCCAGGTGCTAAGTTTGTGAAAGTAAAAAAAGAATATTCTGTAATTGCATCTTAAAAACATTTACAAAAATTAATAACAGAAGCTTTTTTGATAAATAAATGAGTAAAAGGGAAAATAAAATTCAGGGTAATTTTAATTATAGTGGCACAGTGGTTAGAATATAGTATTGCAGGCTAAAAAACTCTGCCCACAGCCATAAATTCAATCCTGACCAGCTCAAGGTTGATTAGGCCTTCCATCCTTCCAAGGTCAGTAAAATGAGAACCCAGTTTGTTGAGGGCAATATGTTGACTCTGTAAACTGCCCTGAGTGTGCTGTAAAACACTATCAAGTGGTATATAAGTCTAAGTGCCTTTGCTATTATTTAAAAGTCTTTAATACTTAATATTCATGTCTATACTATAAGAAAGAATACAAAATATTCTTCTGTATTTTCTACATTAAGAGATACATGGACTCTAGAACTAATTTGCTTAATTTCACTGGGCTGTATCCTAAAAACCATAGCTGGAATCCAGCTTCTGGAAAGTGGAGGCCTTGTAGCCTCTGTCAGCAGAGCTCCCAGTACACTCAGTGTTTGGACCTCCTTCAGAATTGATCTTTCTCCAAAACAGGAATATCCCAGCATTGGTAAGGATGGGAACCAGAAACACATGGAGATGTGATGTTAATTAAAGTTAAGTTTATTAGTTTGTATAAACTAATACTATTAGTTTGTATAAACTAATACAATAAATAACCAGTGTATGTCTGTCTAATATCCAGTATTTTTGCTAGGTGAGTGCAGTGTGCACATGTGAACTTATAACACAAATACAACCAGTTTGCGATAAACTTGTGATACTAAAACTGCTATTGGAAATATTTTATTCATTTCTACTAGGAACTGGATTCATGTCATAAGTTCTAAAAGATGTGCATTTTGCTTCTGGTTCAATTCTGGTTCAACTCATATTTCTCATAAGTTTCTATTATAAATATTAGGTCTTTTTCTGTTTAAAAATTGATGAATTATTTCTAAATTCTCAGCTGTACATTCACATATGTAGAAAACTAATCTGCAAACTTTTGACATTATGTATTGAAGCTGTGAAAAGATTATGGCTTTGTGTGTGTGTAGCAATCTAATAGTTAAACTCTAATTTTATAGACAGAATTTGGAGCTGTCCAATTTTAGTCCAAATAAGGGTAGTGTCACACTCACATTAAGTATTCACGCATAAGATGTCTGAGTTTCTCAAATATTAATACATTATATTGAATTACACATTATTTGGATTTAAGGTAAAACATATATTAAATTTGTATCATGCTTTTTTCAAACAAGTACTCAAGTCAATTATCAAAAAGATTAAGATAGAATAACTTACAATTATTAAAATTCTAAATTCCTAATCCATTAATATAGGTTGAAGAAAATGTAACATTTTTTTCCTGCTTTCCAGTCTGAAAACACAAACTGACCACAAACATACATGCCTTGCATACAATCCAGATGTATTAACAAACATCCAAGTATATAGGATACCTCTCCTTCACAGTCATTGATTGATAATACTGCGAGCTGCAGACAGGATTGCTTGAATAGTTGAGAAAAACTAATGATTTTAACTCCCGTGCATAAATTTTTCTATGCTTTGCAACTGTATCCACATACTTCAGGAATTATCTCTCAGGGGTCCCCAACCTGTGGGTCATGGCCCAGTACTGGGCCATGGCCTATTGGCCACTGGGCCGTGTGAGTGGCTGGTTGGTGCGCACATGTGTGTGTGCGCGCACACACTCCCACTCATACAAGCATCATCATAGGCGTTTGTAGTCCCACTTGCTTGAGCGCTGCGGGCATTCGCAGCTCCACTCACTTTAGTGTCGTGGGCACTCATGGCCCCACTCGCATGAACGTGTTCCATGAGCATGCACACCTGTGCTCACGTGTTTATCCCTCCCACAAAAACATCTCTTCCCCCTCTCCCCACTCTGCGCCTCCAACCCCAAAAGGTTGGGGAACTCTGTCTCAGATGATCTTATGACAGATACTTATATAAAGATATAGACACATAGATATAAAAATATAGACTCAGAAAAAAATTAGGAATCAAACCATGTTTCTCCCAATCTTTTTATCTTTTTCCCAAAAAAATATTTCATTCACTCAAAGAATTTTTTATTAATTTTTCTTTCACTATGGATTCAAACTTTTCAGAAATTTAATATCTCCAAAACCATAAGCATTTGCACATGTAAACACAAAGGGATTGTGGACTGTCTATATTTAGATGCTTTCTATTGTCCTTCAACTGAATATTAGTATTTCTTGAATTAAAAATCCTTTTGTTAGAAAACTGACTCATTTGTGTGCATGTGTACACATATAGAGACTTGAAGGTTTGTAGAGTTTAAGAATCCATTTAAAGTTTTTAATAAAATAGTATTTATTAAAATAGTAAAAACAATTCTTCTCACATTTCTCATCTCATCTAATGTAATGGTCAAATCATTTGCTTTATAAACTATGTTGGTTAATGAGCAAATGAGGTAACTAATCTTGGTTTGCAACTTGCAAAAATTTCAGTGATCTTTTATTTGTTATATACAAAACATTTACAAATATTTGTTAGTTTGTATTCCTGTATGTACTAGTAGTGACTTCAAATATTATAGAATATTTTCAGCAAAGCTGAACTATAATATTTTTATCAGTTATTATATATCTGTGACCTAATTTACTTCAATTTAAAGTTGATTTAATACATAATATTTATTTATTTATTTAAAAATATATTGGTGACCCAATAAATATATATAAACATAAATAATATATAATAAACATTATAATTAATGGGGGGGGGCTAGAAAATCCCTTTAAAAAGTGGCATTGATTCTGTTTTCAACCTGGATATAGAAAATGATACACATTTGTTCCAATTTAAAATCACTGATGTGGCTGTGGATTTTGTAAATGTTTTTTATGTATCACAAACATTCCCAGTACTGTTGAACTAAGGAAGCACTACAGGTAATCTTGACTTATAACCAGTCGCTTAACTCTTGTTCTAAGTTATGACAGACCTCCCCAATGTTTTTAACAACCTATTTTCAGAGTTATGATGGCTGCACATAACTTTAACCCTAACCCTTAACCCTAACTCTCCTTCTGCGGTCACGTAGATTGCATTTTGGATGCTTGGCAACTGGCTTACATTTATAGCTCTTTGCAGCATCCCACATGACTACGATTTTTGCCAGTTTTCAGTGTTTACCTTCGGTTTCCAGCAAAAAACCCACCTACTGGTGGGAAAATGGATTTGCTTAATAACTGGGCTTGTTGTTTAACAGTCATTGTAAAAACAGTTATAATTTCAAATGCAGTCACATGATGCCTTGACTTACAACCTCAGCAACTTACAAACATAATTCCAGACTCAGTTATGGTTGTAAGTTGTGAGCTACCTGTAGTCCAATTTAGCTTCATCTTGCCTAAG